AAAAGAACAATGAAACTAAGACTTTATTCTTTGAAACGGTAAAGTTTTTTTTGGTTTTTTTTTGTTTGTTTTTTTTTGAGACGGAGTCTTGCTCTGTCGCCCAGGCTGGAGTGCAGTGGCCGGATCTCAGCTCACTGCAAGCTCCGCCCCCCGGATTCACGCCATTCTCCTGCCTCAACCTCCCGAGTAGCTGGGACTACAGGCGCCCACCACCTCGCCCAGCTAGTTTTTTGTATTTTTTAGTAGAGACGGGGTTTCACTGTGTTAGCCAGGATGGTCTCAATCTCCTGACCTCGTGATCCGCCCGTCTCGGCCTCCCAAAGTGCTGGGATTACAGGCTTGAGCCACTGAAATGGTAAAGTTTTAAAAACCTTTAGGTAGACTAAATTTTAAAAAGACTCAAATAAAATCAAAAAAGGAGATATTACAACTGATGTAACATAAAACCCAAAAAAATGCAGACTACTCTAAACAATTACATGCCAATAACTGGATAACTTAGAAAAATCAATAAATTCCTAGAAACATACAACCAAGCAAGACTAAATCAGTAAAAAAATGGAAAATCTGAACAGACCAATAATTGGTAACGAGATTAAGTCAGTAAGAAAAACTCTACCATGAAAGAAAAGTCCTGGATTTTAGAGCTTCTGTGCTCAATTATGCCAAGAATTTAAAAAAGAATTAATACCAATCTTTCTTAAACTGTTCCAAAAAATTGAAAATGAGGGAATACCTCCAATTTCGGTTTACTAGACCACCACTACCCTAATACCAAAACCAGATAAGGACATTACAAGAAAAAAAATTACTGACCAATATCCCTGCTGAACATAGATGCAAAGATCCTCAATAAAATACTATCAAACCAAATTCAACAACACATTAAAGGTATCACCTATCAAGGTCAAGTGAGATTTACCCTAGGGATGCATAGAAGGTTCAATATGTACAAACCAATAAATGTGATATATCATATTAACAGACTAAAGGACAAAAAGCACATGATCATTTCAATAGATGCAGAAGAGGCATTTGACCAAATTCAACATGCTTTCATGATTAAAAAAGAAAAACTCTCACCAAATTACATTTAGAAGGAATGTATGTAAACACAATAAAGGTCATATATGACAAGCCCTCAGGTAACATTATAATCGACAGTTAAAAATTGAAAGCCTTTCCTCTAAGATCTGGACAAGACAAGAATGCCCACTCTCACCACTTCTATTCAGCATTAGTACTAGAAGTCCCAACCAAATAAATTAGGCTAGAGAAAGAAATAATAGGTATACAAATAGACCAGGAAGAAATAAAATTATCATTGTTTGTTAACAATATAATATTATACATAAAGATCTTTATGACTCCATCAAAAAATGTTGAATTCTGTAAAGTTGCACAATACAAAATTAACACACACAAATCAGTAGTGTTTCTATACATTAACAATGAACTATCCAAAACAGAAATGAAGAGAATGATCTAATATAAAGTTATTTAAAAACTAAATTAGGAAAAAGTTTGACCAAAGAAGTAAAAGACGTGTACACTAAAAATGATAAAATAATTGATGAAAGAAATTGAAGACACAAATAAATGGAAAGATATCCCATGATTTTTAAAAATGTCCGCACTACCCAAAGCAATCTATAGTGTCGATGCAATCCTATTAAAATTTCAATGTCACTTTCCACAGACATAGTAAAATTTTAAATTCATATGGAACCACACACACACACACACACACACACACACACAAAACCCGAATAGCCAAGGCAACCATGAACAAAAAGAACAATGCTGTAGGCATCTTATTACCCAATTTCAAACTATACTATAAAACTACAGTAATTAAAACAGCATGGTACTGGCAAAAAAAAGCAGACACACCAACCAATGGAACAGGCCAGAAAATGCAGACATGAAACCCACCTATATAGCCAATTGATTTTCAACAAAGGTGCTAAGAATACACAATGGGGAAAGGATAGTTTTCAATGAATAGCGTTAGGAAAATGGGACACCCACAAGCAAAGAATTAAATTGAACCATTATCTCACACCATTTACAAAAATTAAACTCACATTAAAATCTAAAGGTAATACCAGAAACTGTAAAACTATTAGAAGAAAACATAAAGTAAAAGCTGCACAGCATTGGTATAGATAATAATTTTTTTTTATTTGACCCCAAAAGCACAGGCAACAAAAGCAAAAATAGACAAGTATGATTACATAAAATTGAAAAATTTCTGCACAGCAAAGGAAACTATTAATAATTTGAAGAGACAACCTATGAATTAGGAGAAAACATGTACAAGCCATACATTCATTGAGGATTTAATACACAAAATATATAAGGAACTAAACTCAATAGTAAGAAAATAGAAAACCCGATTTAAAAAACGGGTCATGGGACTGAACGTACATTTTTCAAAAGAAGACACAAAAATGGAAAAGAGATATATATATATTTTAAAGCTCAACATCATTAATCATTAAGGAAATACAAATTAAAACCACAATAGGATGTCATCTCACATGGGTCAGAATGTCTATTATCAAAAATACCAAAGATAAATGTTGGTAAGGATATGGAGGAAAGGTAACTCTTGTACACTGTTAGCAGGAATGTAAACTCGTACATCCACTATTAAAAACAATATGGAGGTTCCTCAAAACACTAAAAATAGAACCACCATATGATCTGGCAATTGCTTTTCTGGGTATTTACCCAAAAGTTTAAAACCTGTTTGTCAAAGAAATGTCTGCACTCCCTTATTCACTGCAGGCAGCAGTATTCATGATAGCCAAGTAATGGAATCAACCTGTTTATCAATGGATGAATGGATAAAGAAAATGTAGTACACAGACAGAGTAGAATACTATGCAGCCTTTAAAACTGGAATTCTGTCACTTGCAATGACATGGATAGAATTGTAGAACACTATGCTAAGTGAAATAAGCCAAGCACAGAAAGACAAATACCACATGTTCTCACTTACATGTGGAAGATAAAACAACTGAACTCATAGAAGAAGACAGCAGAATGGTGGCTGCAGAGGCTGCAGGTGGGGGTAATAAGGACATGATGTCAAAAAGTATAAAATCTCAGTTATTCATGAGGAATAAAGGTTTCTTTGATATCTACTGTACAGCATGGTGAATATAATAGCATATTGCACATTTGAAAATTGCTATGAGAGTAAATTTCAAATGTTCTCACTATAAAAAAGTTCATATTTGAGCTGACAGATGTGTTAATTAGCTTTAAGTATTCCACATTATACTCATAAATCATAACATTGCTTCATACCCCATAATAAATACAGCTATAAATTTCAATGTATAATAAAACAAATAATAAATAAAATTTAAACAGTATGGTAATGGCGTATAAACAGACACATAAAAATAATAATAATAATAAAACAGACACATAGGTCAAACAAATAGGTTAAAGAGCCCAGTAATAAACCTAGGCATATATGGTCAATTAATCTTTGACAAGGGTGCCAACAATACACAATGAAGAAAACATAATTTCTTAAATAAATCAGGTTGAGAAAATTGGATATCCACATGCAAAAAATAAAATTGGACACTTATTTGACACATACACAAAAATCAATTCAATGAATTAAAATTTTAAGCATAATACCATAAAACATCTGGAAGGAAACATAGGGGAAAAGCTCCTTGACATAATTCTTGATTTTCTGGGTATGACACCAAAATCACAGGCAACAAAAGCAAAAATAAACAAGTAGAACCTCTGCAGAGTAGTGAAGAACTAAAAAAAAAAAAAAATTGTGCAAAGCAAAGAAAAAAGTCAATGAAATGAAAAGGCAATCTATGGATCGGCAGAAATCATAAATTTGATAAGGAATTAATATAAAAACAAAATATAATGAACTCAAGCAATTCAACACCAAACCCCAAATAATCCAATTAAAAATGGGCAAATGACCAAAATAGACTTTTTCATAAAAGTAGACATACAAATGGCCAGTAAGTATATGAAAAAGTAATCAACACACACACACACACACACACACACACACACACACCCAGGTCTGTCCTCTAAAACCTGCTCTATAAATTTTCATTCCAAGTAGTTGGGAAGATGCAATGGAGGACTCCTAAGCCTTATGGAATGTAGCCACTAGATAGAAGGAGTCTAGGTAACCAGATGACTCTATGGATAAGAAACTTATCCACTGACTCTCATTAAACTATTAGATGAGAGAGACATAAACTTTAGTTATATTAAAGCATTGTGATTTTGACACTGCTTTTGAAGCACTGAGAATACCCTTACCTAAATCAATAAATTTAAAATTAGTGGCATTGGTTGAGCATTTGATTGTTAAAAGGCAAAGGAACAGATAGAAACAACATGCCATTTGGTAGAACTGTTGACTGCTACAATTTGGAAGGCAGACAATGTGTATGCTAAGCCTGCAGCTCTTTGGAAAGTAGTTGGAGAGAATGAGAATGTGATTTATATTTTAAGAAGACCACTCTGGCTTCTATGTGATCAAGATTAGAAAAGTCGGAATCAAGCAACTATTGTAATAGTCCAGGACAACAAAAAAGATAATAGAATAAACTAAGACAGTAAATGTGAAAGTGGTGGAGGTGGTGAAAAGTGGTGGAATTTTTTACATATTTTGATAAAAGAAAGAAAAGAATGTTCTAATGCCTTGAATAAGGATTGTGAGAGAAAGTAAGCAGTCAAGAAAAACTTAAGGTTTTCCGACTGAATAACTGATATGGTTTGGATACTGGTCCCCTCCACATCTCATGTTGAAATGTAATCCTCAGTGTTGAAAGTGGGGAACCTGTTGGGAGATGTTTGGATTATACAGGAGGATCCCTCATGAATAGTTTAGCACCATCCCCTTGGGGAGAAGTGAGTTCTCACTCAGTTCAGGTGAAATCTGGTTGTTCAAGTGTGTAGCACCTCTCCCATTACCCTCTCGTTCCCACACTCACCGTATGACACATCTGCTCCCACTTCACCTTCCTCCACGAGTAGAAGCTCCCTGAGGCGCTCGCCAGAAGCAGATGCCAGCACCATGTTTCTTGTACTGCCTACAGAACCATGAGACAAAATAAGACCTCTTTTCCTTATAAATAACCTAGCCTCGAGTATTTTCTTATGTCAACACAGATGGACTAAAGCAGTATCTGACAGAGTTATTAATAGTATTTATTCAGGTAAGGCAACTAAGGGAGAAGCAGGTTGTAGAAGAGTGAAAATAAAGACATTAAAACTTACTAAAGTATTAAAAACAAAGTGTGCAATGATAGATAACTGTATCAATAAAACAGAATAGAAATCTAAAATAGAAATACATAAAAATGAATATTAAAAATGGCATTTATATTCATTATAGTAAATATGTTTTAATAAATGAAGCTCACATAATCAGGTTATATACCCTATCACATATCAAATACAAAAATAAAATCCAATTGCAATAAAGATCCAACTGTGAAACAAAATAAAATTTCAGAATGTATAGGATAATTTTTATAAAACATTTGGAAGGACAAGATTCTTTTAAATAAAAAAGGAATTCCTGAATTCACAAAAGAAATATGGGTACATTTAATAACACAATATTTTTAATTGTGTAACAAAATGTAGTAAGAGTCTAGGAAAGACACGTGCAATCTATATGGCAGGAAATAGTTAACAAAATCAATATTCCTGATATGTAGGGGATGCTGAAAACTTGATGAGAAAATAAAACAGAAGAACAACATGATGTATGACACAAACATTCAGAAGAGAGATTGCGAATTCTCATCAACTATTTGAAAGTATGCCAATTTCTGCTAATGTAGTGAATTACAGTAATTAATTTTCAAGTGTTAAACCAACCTTGCAATCCTCAGGCATAAAAACATTTTATTATTATGAATAATATCTACTTTTTAAACTTATTATCATAGAAATAATTATTGCTGACCCTGTAACAGTTTGCAAGACAAAGCATATGCCATTTACTTAACACAGTAGTTCTCAACTGGAGGTGTTTTTCCCCCCAGGGGGACATTTGACAGTGCTCAATTATGTTTTTCTTTCTTACAGCTGAGGGCCACTACTAGCATCTAGTGGATGGAGAACAGGCATGCTGTTAAACATCCTGCAATACATAGGTAAACCTCTCACCACAGGAATAATCTGGGCCAAAATGTCAATAGTGCAGAGGTTGAGAAACACTGATTTAACAGATCAGTTTAATCAAGACTTGTCAATTCTATAGCCTAAAGAAAAATTCAATTCTGAACCACTCCCACCCCTATAGTACATCTTCACTATCATTGCAGCTATTCTTAACTACAAATTTGCCTCTTCAGTCTATTATCTAAATTGCTGCCCAAGTAAGAGAAGGCTTGGGTTGAGTTAGGTAGGAATGGGTTAGTTTCATTAAAATACAAATCTATTTATACAATAATTCTTCATTAAATCTCATATTTCCTTTGTCTGAATTTGTCTATTTGAGAAAAAAAAAAATCCAGAATGGGTAGCTAAAACTGGCCACAGCAAGTAGATGGGACTCTATGGGTCCAATGTCAGAAAAAAGACACGGACTTTTATCTAAAGCTGTAACTGAAACTGAGATCATGAGAGTGAGAGTTAGCCAAGAGTCAAAAAGTATCTCAGAATATGGGATGAAGCATACACAGAAGACAGTACATTCACAAACTGAATTCCATAGGGAAAGGTGAGAGATAAAACACACATAAATTGAGTGAACATTTGAATTTGTGAGATCTAAGATTGACAAGCTCTGTTAAGTACAATGGTGCTTGTGATGGTTAATTTTATGTGTCAAGTTGATGGGGCTAAAAGATGACCAGATAGCCAGTAAAACATTATTTCTCAGTATGTCTATAAAGAGTGTTTCTAGAAAATATAAGTATCTGAATCAGTAGATGGGCTAAAGAAGATCCACCCTTACCAATGTAGACAGGTGTCATCCAAATCACTTAGGGCCTGAGAGAACAAAAAGGCAGAGCAGCAATAAGTTCTCTCTTTCTTCTTGGCTGGGATATCCATCTTCTCCTGCCCTTGGAATTGGAGCTCCTGATTGCTGGGCCTTCAGATTCCAAGACTCAAACCAATGGCCTCCCAGATCTTAAGCTTTTGACCTTGGAGTGGGAGTTACACCATCAGCACCTCTGGTTCTCAGACCTTCAGATTCAGACTGAATTACATTATTACCTTTCCCAGATGGCATATCATGGGACTTCTCAGCATCCATAATTGTGTGAGCCAATTCTCATAATAAATATCCTCACATGTATCTATACATTGATAGAGAGATAGACAGATAGACAGACAGATCCTATTGGTTCTGTTTCTGGGGGAAAACCTGACTAATACAGTGGTGGCAGCAGACAGATAATGAAAACATGTAAGACTTTAGAAATTGTCCTCAATATCTGGGACACGAATTGGGAATCCTAACAAAAACATCTTTGAAAACAGAAGTTTTCTTTGTGGTATAAAGATGAGACAGAGGTATCTTCAAGAGACGGTAATGGAAGCATAAGGTAAGGAAGTATTTCATTCATGAAAGCATCTACATCACATGGGTAATATGATTGTAAGAAGATCAGAAATAAAATCCTTCAAAGTAAAGTGACCACATAATTTGTCATCTAAATCTTGATAATCTTGAAAACAACAGGGTTGCTATTAGTAATTACATTGAAACAATCAGACTAAACCAGCTTTGTCCTGGAAAACTAAAACACATTATTTCTTAAGAATAGTCTAGAGTAGGTTGGAGATGGGATTATATTCAGTAATTTATCAAAACTTCCAATGTCAAGCTTAAACTCAGCTCAAATGTTTCTGTGCTTAATGGTATTATTTTGGCTATTAAGACACCAAAACTCTATATACCATATTTACAATCATGAAGAGACACAGTATCCTTCTTAAGTTGCACTGCTGAAAATAGTAACAATGACTGTAGACCTCTCCAGCTATATCATATGGTGATAAAATTCTCCCTTTAGTCTGTAACATCTGAGACAACCACTTAACAGTATCTAAACCTTAATCAGACACTGCTAAACACAGAATGGATTGGCTCAGTCAGCCATGGCTGGACAGTGGAAAAGTTCTTAAATATAAATACAAAATCAACAGTGTCTGGCAGTGTCTCTCCATACTTTTCACTAAAATATGTAGGAAGATTAAAACATTCACAAAAACACCAAAATTATAAATGACAATCAAGTACCAGAATTACGGAGGAATTACCCACACACACACACAAAAATCCAATGTGAGGGTGACTATAAAACGGAAAAAAAAAAAAATATGATAAAGGAAGAAGGAAATTATACCTCCAAAATTATGGAATATAACTCTAAAAAAATTATTTTCAAAACTGGCAACTTCAGTAGAGTAGAAGATGATATTATCATGCTATAAAACAGGTTCAGGAAATTATATGAGAATACCAATTTGAGATAAAATCACGAATGTAAATAAAGATCACCAAAATAAAACAATGCAAGAAAACCTAAAATGCAATAACAGAATTAAAAGACACATTGGGCTGGGCACATGCCTATAATCCCAGCACTTTGGGAGACCAACACGGGTGGATCATTTGAGGCCAGGAGTTCGAGACCAGCCTGGCCAACATGGCAAAACCCCACCTCTACTAAAAATGCAAAAATTAGCCAAGTGTGGTGGCACATGTCTGTAGTCCCCGCTACTGGGGAGGCTGAGGCGGGAAATTGCTTGAACCTGGGAAGTGGAGGTTGCAGTGAGCCAAGATCATGCCACTGAATGCCAGCCTGGGCAACAGGGCAGGACTCTGTCTCAAAAAAAAAAAAAAAAAAAAAAGATACATTGAAGGGCTGGGAACAGTGGCTCATGCCTGTAATACCAGCACTTTTGGAGACTGAGGTGGGAGGATCACTTGAGACCAAGAGTTTGAGACCAGGCTGGGCAACATAGCAAGACCTTGTCTCTACAATTAAAAAAAAAAAAAAAAATAGCCTGGCATGGTGGTGCGAGCCTGTAGTCCTAGCTGCTCAGGAGGGTGAAGCAGGAAGAAGATTGCTTGAGCCCAGGATCAATTTCAAGGTTATTTATTTTGTTCATTTATCTGTCTGTTTTTGCATCAATACCACACTGCTTTAATTATTCAAGCATAAGATAATCTAAGATCTGGTAGGGCTAATTAGTCCTCATTATTCTTGCCTTTAACGTATATGCCTGTATGTGTGCACATGTGTGTTATTCTATATGTTTTATTCTTCTAAATAAATTTGATACTAATTTGATCAAATATTGATCCCACTGTGCTCCCTACCATTATTATATTTTCCATGCTATTTCTTTTTTCATCATAATTTTAATATATTAATGTTATTATACAGGCCAGCTATTGATTTTTGTATATTTATCTCATCCTACCATTTTGTTGAACTCTGTTTTTATCAATTCGAGTAGCTTTATAATGGAATCTCTTTGGTTTTATAGATGTACAAGTCATTTTTCTCTTACATGGCTCACAAGTTTTACTATGTTTTTCACGTTACTTGATGCTTTAGGATTTACTAACATTATGTTTTTATTTTGAAATATACTTTTTATCAAAATAAAATTACTCTCTTTACTAAAAGGCTTTGGCCATGAAAAATAAAATAAAATAAAACCAAGCAGAAATTCTAGAACAACAAAAAAATCATTGAAGGAAATAGTGAATACATTCAAAACTTCAATCATAGACTAAATAGAAGAAAAAAATCTCAGAACTTGAAGAAAGGTCTTTGAAATAACCCAGTCAGATAAAAATAAAGATAAAAGAATAGAAGAGAATGAAGCTTTGAGATGTCTGGGACTACATAAAGCTATAGAACTTATGCATTGTTGGTATTCATGAGGAAGGAAGAGCAATCAAAAAATTTAGAAAATAATTTAAGGAAACAATTGCGGAGAACTTCTTATCCCAAGGCAAATACATTGCAAAAAGGAATCACCACAGCATATATATTCAGAATGTCTAAAGTCAGTGAAAGAAAGAATTTTAAAGTTAGAAAGAGAAAATCAG